CGCGCGCGGCGGCGCGCCGTCGTCCGTGCTCGCGGCCGCCGGGCCCGCGTCGCTCGACGGCGCCGCGCCCTACGAGATCGTGCCCGCGCACGGCCGCCTCGACGACGCGCACGCCGACGCGCACGCCGTCTTCGTCGTCCGGGCCCCCGACGGCAAGTACGTCACCGTCCGCGAGGGCGGCGACGGAGCGCTGCTCCTCGACGCGTCCGCGGACGCGGCGCTCGACGCGCTCGCCTTCGAGCTCGCGCCCTGCGCGGCGCCCGGCGGCGCCCCGACCCACCCGCTCGGCGGCCGCACGTTCAAGCTCCTCAACGTCTACGACGCCGGCGCCGGGCCCGAGAACGCGTTCGTCGGCCGCGCGGCGGACGGCGGGCGCCTCCGCGCCGCGTACCACGAGGGAGACGCGATGCCGCTGACCCTCCTTCCCGTCGAGGGGCGGCCCCATGAGTACGTGCTCCGCGGCGGCGCGCCCGCCGCGTACGTCTCCTTCGCCGACGACGGCGGCTGGCTCCACGCGCGCTACGAGCGGCGGCGCGACGCCATGAGCGTCAGGCTCCACCTACGCACGTCGAACAACGCCGGGACGTGCCGCGGCGACCAGTTCCTCCTCTCGAACGAGTTCAAGCCGTCCAAGTACGCCGGCAAGTGGATATCGTTCTCGTCCAACGGGAACTGGCTCCGGTGCACCTACGACCGCGAGAGCGACGCCATGTCCGTGATGCTCTTCCCCGCGTAGGACGATGTCCAAGAGGGCGCGGAGAACGTGGAGAGATACAGTTTCCATTTCCCATAGCAGCACACACTTCTAGCGAGTCCGAAGCTTGGTCATTGTCTCATTGTCTTCACAGGCAGTATTACTTGTGCCCCCCCTCTCTCTCAAGAGGGGGAATCGCAGGGCCTAGGTTCCAGTAGGCGTTCTGCATGTCCTCCTGCTCGTGCGCACTAGAATTGTCCGGTTTCTAGTCGGTCAACCCTGTGGCACGCGTATGCGCTTCGGCTGCACGTCGATGGAGACAGTCGAACCCGGTCATAGTCGACCGAGTGGACATCTTGTTAGAACCGCGGGCTGGGTACGGCGGTTCGAGACGCCTCGTGCGGCTCACATATGTTCGTGTGGTCGGTTTCTGAAAAAAAGAAAAAGGCGGTGGGGGTGGGGCGG